GACGACGACGACGACGACGACGACGACGACGACGACGACGACGACGACGACTAGTACTACTACTACTATGACGTTACTGCTTCTGGTCTACGTTTTGTGTTAGTAGTAGTAGTAGTAGTAGTAATAGTAATAGTAGTAATAGTAGTAGTAGTAGCGTCGGTGTTGATGGTGTTGGTGATGGTGGGTACTGGTAGGTACATATCTACCTACCTAGTAGCGTAGCAGAGAAGAAAATGGAAAGAAAGGAAGATGGATGGAATGGCGCCCTGGGACGATAAGAAGAAGAAGAAGAAGAAGAAGAAGAAGAAGAAGAAGAAGAGGAGGAGGAGTATGAGGAGGAAGAGAAGGAGAAGGAAGAGAAAGAGTAGAAGGAGGAGTGAGGGTTCGCTGCCTGCTGTTACTTTGGAGACTGAAAGAAAGAGACAGAGAGAGAGAGAAGGGTGAAGAAGGTTAGGGTTGTAGTAGGAGAGGGGATACTTTTCGGAGGAGGGCTAAGCGTGTCAAGATTCGAAGATGCTCCTTCCGGCGCAAGGACACTTATCGACTTCTATCCTCTTTTCACGGCTGAAAGTCACGTCGTTTTACGTCCGCCCTAATCGAAAGAAAAGAAAAGAATGGAGGGAACAAAAAAAGAAAAAAAAAGAAAAAGAAAGAAAAGAAGAGAAAAGAAAAGACTCCTCTCGTTTTCTTTCAGATCCGTTCTAACAAATTCTCTTTATACTAGAGAGCTATAAGTCTTTTGTCAATGACGAGGGTATTACTGCGATAAAACGGATCTGATCTTTTTAACAAAATTTATTTGTATTATTTATAATTAAACGAACATACGCACATAATATATATATATATATATATATATATATATATATATATATATATATGGGGAGGATAAGAGAAACGAAGGTAAATCAAGTAGATGGTTAAATCGATCCGAAATAGATCTCAAGTGGTAGGATTTGATAGGTCTTTGAAGTGTCTTCCCGAGCGAATAGTAACAGGCAGGATAGCAAGAGAGAGAGAGAGAGAGAGAGAGGGGGAGAGAAGAGGTAGGGAGGGAAAGCTTTAGGCCCGCTTTTCGAGTGGTCATCCCTTAACTCGAACCTAACCGCTCGACCGTATATTTGCTAATTGACTAAACGAGCTTAAACGCACTTCGAGACCTGGAGGATCGGGATGAGGCACTGTTTGTGAACCATCCATTAGTGGCGATGCTTCGCGGTGAGGTCCCGATGTATTCAGAAGGACCATTCGCGCGCAATTCCGCGTTCTCGATATGTCAAAAGCGAGACCCTTCTGTTTGTGTCAACGTAAGCAATGTAATCGTCAAGGTCATCCGATAGTGTCAATTATCAAATTTTTATATATAATATTTGTCATGATTTTGTACGGTATCGTTTTAATTACGATACGATATCGTCGAAATGAACAATTGAATTTTATTGAGAAATTATTTCAATGAAAATTCTTGGTAATTTTTAATTTAATTTGTAAGATAACGAAATGTAGTTACTTATTTACTATGGTCAATGTCTTATTCTTGCATATATTATTTATATCTTTCGTTACTGAAGGGAACAATAGAAAGAGGAAACAGAGAGAGAGAGAGAGAGAGAGAGAGAGAGAGTGAGAGAGAGAGAGAGACAGACAGAGAGCAAGGGAAAGACCGTGCCCAGTGCTCGTTACTTCGAGTCCACGATCATAATGGCCCTTCTTGTTAAATTGAGCATCAGGCAAGTGATTTACGTTGATTGCTCGTCGCGTCGCATCGTGCACATTCAGAGGTCCCTATCCGATCATCGTTGGTAGTACGCATACGTAGATACACAGAAGTAATCTACGAAGATATACTATGTAGATCTTCAACGACGTTGATCGATCTCTATACATATTATCTGCATATATCACCATCGATCGATCGATCTTCAATTTTAAAATACAACGAAACGATTCAAATGTATTTCCGTACAATTAAATTAAATTAAATTAAATTAATATCTTTCGATATAATTTAAATATAATTGTTTTTGAGAAAAAAAAATGATAGATTGTATGAAGAAAGTAAAGAAATTAAATAGGAAAGAAAAAAGTAAAATGAGAAAGAATTTGTCGAGTAATGTGTGTTGAGTTGACCTATTTAAATTTGTTGAATTTTTCGAGATATAAAGAGAAAATACGAAAGAGAGGTAACGTAAAAGAGTCCTTTGTATCCAGTATTGTATCCAAGCTATTTCGAACTATCGTAACCGAGCTCCATCGAAGAATGTTCGGCCTTCAAAAACAGAGAAGGAACGCGCGCTCAGCAATGGCGCGCGGTTCATAGCGAGCCATTTAAAGGTCTTTGCAAAATTGAGTCATCACGCGGTTCGCCTGGAATCTCGAATATTTTCCTCCCGATGCTTCGGCTTCTCTTCGACCCCTTGCACACCAACCACCTTTCTCTTCTGCTAACGCCATCTAAACCTCTTTTCCACGTTATCATCATTGAATCTCTCATAGTAACCCTTATATCGGGATTCCATGAAATCTTAGATTTCTCCGATCATCCGTCATTTTCTTATCTCTTTCATAGTTTGAAAATTATTTTCTTTGAGAACAATCGAAATCGATTAATTAAGAAATAATATTCCTTTAATTTTTTTTACTCATATTCTTATAATATTACATATATATATATATATATATCAAACGCTGATTATAATCGATCGATTATATTTAAGAACAACGATTGAGAGAATAATTTTTCAATCGATTAACTATAATTTAACGATATATATATATATATATATATATTCTTCTTTTTCTTTCGTCGTATCTCCAAATTTATAAAAATTCTTAATCGATTGATTATCATTAAGAACAAAAAGGAATAATGATTATTTTATTTCGTAAATTTACAGTTGATATAAATTATTTTCATAATGGGCCATTCTTCTTTATAAAGATTCCCTACTCGATGATCTCTTAACTTTCATAGTTCCATCGTTTCTATTCGCTCGTGGAACAATCGTGCGCGTTCACCAACGTTAATATCCTCATTCTCGTTCTGGCCTCGTGCGAGCACTCTCGCATTTAATCGCGGCGAGCCATGTTTTATTTCTCTTCATTTATAATCGTAGCTACGAGTGGAACAAACGGACAGCATCGGGCATGTTCTACCATGCGTTTCGCGACCCACTGAAAACTCGAATGCAGTGCTCGAATTAATTTGAGTGTACGTGTACCTCTCTCTCTCTCTCTCTCTCTCTCTCTCTCTCTCTCTCTCTCTCTCTCTCTCTCTCTCTCTCTCTGTCTCTTTCTCTCTCTCTCTCTCTTTCTCTCTCCTGTCTTTCTCTCCCCTCTCTCTTCTTTCTCTCTCTCTCTCTTTCTCTGTCTCTCTCACCCCTTTAGCCTTTGCCAACCAACCCCTCTTCCCTCTCTTGTGTATGCTCTTTAAATCCGTGCTCGTTGTCGGCCGAGTATTTCGTGTTTACCCAACTACGCCGATTAAAAGCGTGTCTCTCTCTCTCTCTCTCTCTCTTTCTCTTTCTTTCTCTCTTTCTCTTTTTCTCTCTCTCTCTCTCTCTCTCTCTATCTCTATCTCCTTCTCTTTTTAACCTTCCTCTGCAGGTACTTTTTTCGTTGGGTGCTCTTTTGCATGCACGATCTAACATCGTTTTCCTTCTGCTCCTTTTTTTTTCTCTACTTTTTCTCTCTTTTTTACTTCTTTTCATTTTTTTTTCTTTTCTTTTCTTTTTTCACCTTTTTTTCGTCCTCTTCCTTTTTTTTTTCTTTTTATTTATTTTTTTTTTTTTTTTTTTCTTTTTTTTCTTTCCTAAGGCATTACGCGTTTATTACAGGACTCACGCGAGACATGTTCCATGTATGCAAATGCAATTCCTTTTCCTAGAAATCGAATCGTGTTATTTTTTTTCTTTTCCTCCTTCGAGATGGTTGCAAAGTTTCGCGATTACGATTTTATCCGCGAAACGAAATTGTACGATAAAAAGTTAAATGTTTAGAAGAGGTGTTGCAACGATATGGATTAATAAAAGAAAATTAGAAATGTATTATTCAAATAATTCAAATACTATTCTCTCTTTTCCATCGTTTTCCATCGTTATGAATAAGAGAAAGAAAATTCCAAAGTTTCTAGGGAATCTAATCTCTTACTCTCTCTTTCTTTCTCTCTCTCTCTCTCATTCTATCTTTCTCTTTCGCTCTGTCTCTGTCTTTCTCTTTCATTCTTCTCTTCGTTTGTTTTCGCACGGTCATCTGGATATTACTCCGAGTTAGATCCAATTTATCGCGACGATAGAAGTTCTTCAACGTAACGGAAAGACGAACGTGAGACTATCTGAGATCGAGAACGAAGAGTTAAAGCAGACCCCGATGCGAATGGAAAGGGTTCTGTTGAAACTCACGTAAAATCTCGATTGGCTCCTTGACCCTTAAGCTAAGATGCGCAGACCATCTGTCGGACCGTTTATATTCGAGTTATAATTATCTTATATATATATAATATATATATATGAGTACGCACACACATATATTAGAATAGAAAGTATCTATCTTAATAGGGTTCAAAAATAGTTCATGGTGAAGCATGAAAAAAAAACATAAAAAAGAATGCACATATACGTAAAAAGAAATCGAAGGATAGAAAAGACATCATCATCATTATCATCATCATTATCATCTTCATCATCATTATCATCATCATCATCATCATCATCATCATAATCATAATCATCATCATCATCATCATCATCATCATCATCATCATCATTTTGTTTTCCAACAAAATATGTATTGTCCACGTTTCATTTTTTTTGCTCGCAACAATCTACACATCTTCGAATGTAAAAGTTGGGAAAGATCGACGTGGTTAATCGATTGTGAATATATGATCGAGTATATATATATATATATATATATATATATATATATATATATATATATATATATATATATAGACGTGATCAATATATATGTAACACGTTCCTTCTTCTTTCCTGTTGCAGGTCGGAA